CATCATAACACCACCACCATGACCATCATCATCATCATCATCATCATCATAACACCACTACCATGACCATCATCATCATCATTATCATTATCATTATCATCATCATCATCATCACCGCCATCGCCGGCCTCGTCTTCACAGAAAGCATTAGAGCGTAAAACAGTCCTTTCTGCTCACCGCAATTAACGATGAGCCAGAAGCATTGACCGAGTTGACGCAAACCTGTGACCACTTTTCATCTCAAAACCAAATGTGGATGTTGGAAATGTGTGAGTTGGTGCAACCGTAGGCCGGAGCAGTGAAAGCTGATGGATTGCGCGGCTCATCGTCCCACGACTCGGATCAACTTGTGCCTGGTTCTCGCCTGTACCGACGAGGCAGACATCGTCAGAGCTGGAAAGCATACTTTGCCAAAACTAGAGCACCAAACAGACACTGACAGCGTCTGTCGCGGCGGTACAGACGAAAGCATAATCTGCACTCATCGAGCACTTGTTCCACACACAATCGGACCATCTGCACTCCGCAAGGGTCAACTCTGCTTGTGCTTCGGGTGCGACAAGTTCGTGAATTCCTTCCAACCAACTGTTGCTTGCAAATGAAAAGTCGAGTCCCACCAAAACCACATTATCACGTTTCACAAGACCCTTGTCGAAAATGGGGTGACTGAAATGCAAGGCTAGTCTTGAAGCATACTTCGTAAAAAGGTATTTTCACAAGCAGTTTGGCCTTTTTGCACAAATTATGCCATTAATGCTAAAATAGATATTGTAACCTACTCACGACGCTTTTCATCTCAAATTAAAATGAAAACACTTCTTTACCTACACTTTTTATTCTTGTAAAATTCAACTGAACATCATATATGCCTAAAACCTACCCATTTGATGTGGCACTCCCAATAAAACCAAAATACAACCAGTTTATCACGCAAACTAGTGCTAAATTATTAAGATATATACATAAAAACCAAGGTTTTTGAACTTTATATTGTATGCTCGAACCCCGATTTATCATAAAATAAGATTATCCCAAGGTTTATAAAAACAAATATGATAATTGTATATATGAAGGCCAAGAAGTTGTGGCTTCTGTTATGGTCTCAGTATCCTTTCAATTTATAGAAGTGGGTTGACCTGGTTGTCGCAACTTGGTCTTGTTGTCGTGGAGACTATGTAGAACGTACCTAGTCCGAAGTCATCTGCCATAGTAGTTGTCATGATTCCCAACATCTGATAATGTACCAAGTCCACTGTCATATGCTGGGAATCATGACAACTATTTTGGCAGACGACTTCGGACTAGGTGCGTTCTACATAGTCGCCCTGACAACAAGACCAAGTTGCAACAACGAGGTCAACCCACTTCTACAAATATAATAATTTTGTTGGTTTCTTACACCATTATGCAAACTAGCAAAATTGCACATAAAAACGAGGTTTTTGGACTTTC